TCATCCTGAAGCTGTGTAAGAAGTTTCTCGATAGTCGTAGAAAATGAGTTGATGATAATAATGTTATCAACATAGGTGAGGATACACATTCGAATGCCTATCTTGTTAAAAATGAAAAGAGAGACATCAGACTTTAAAGGTGTAAAACCCAGCTATAATAGTTTGGAGCTAAGGTGAGAAAACCAGGCATGTAGAGCTTGTTTGAGGCCATAAAGAGAATTATCCAACTTGCAGAGATAACCAAGATGTTGAGAATCCAAAAATCCAGGGGGCTGCTTCATCTAAACATCTTCATTAAGAAAACCATGAAAAAAAATATTTTGAGTATCAATCTGCCGAATAGCCCAACCACGAGAAATAGCAAGAGATAATAAGAGATGAATGGTAGTGGACTTAACAACTGGACTGAAGGTATCATCATAATCAACGTCATACTACTGTTTAAACCCTTTAGCAACCAGGCATGTTTTGTAGTGATCAATAGAGCCATCTGGCTTTTGCTTGAGTTTGAAAACCCATTTGCAATCAATAACGTTAAGATCAACATGAGGAGGAACTAAGTGTCGTGTCTTATTTTTTAGAAGTGCCTGAAATTCATCCTCCATTGTCTGACACTGGAGGGGATGCTGTTAGTTTATTTAATCTTGTATTTCAAATTATGTTAGTTAAGGGTAGTTATTAGCGGTTAAGGGTAGTTATTAGCGGTTAGTGTAGCTATTCTGTCTATATATTTATTGTGAAACAAGTTGAATAATGAGTAAGTTCGTTTATTGCCTCTCTTAGTTGTATGAGTGTATTATAACAATTGGTATCAGAGCGTGGTTACATGCCAAAGATCATGCCGAGAAATAATAACACTGGAGAGAGAGGAGAGTCGCCGAAGTCTGCAACAAAGGAAGGTCTGGTAACACTTCAATACCCGACGTTATCGAGAACCAACTACTCAGCATGGGCTATGAAGATGAAGGTCTATTTGCGTGCTCAAGGGGTGTGGGACGCAATCGAATCAACTGAGCCTCTGGATAGTCTTGATGAAAGGAAAGATCAAATGGCCTTAGCAGCTATCTATCAAGCAATCCCTGAGGAGATGTTATTTTTGTTAGCAGAGAAAGAGACAGCAAAAGAAGCATGGCAGACGTTAAAAACTATCCATGTCGGTGCTGAACGTGTAAAGGAGGCAAAGATCCAAACCCTGAAGATTGAGTTTGAAATTATGAATATGAAGGAGTCCGAGACTATTGATGATTATGCAACAAGATTGACAGAAGTTGTTAATAAAATACGTACTTTTGGAGACAAGTTTGAAGAGGCATACTTGGTGAAAAAATTTCTCCGCTCAGTACCTTCTAAGTTTCTTCATATCACATCGGCAATAGAGCAATTTGCCGATTTAAAGGTGATGACCATGGAGGAAGTCATCGGCCGTCTTAAAGCATACGAGGAACGGATCGGTGGCAACAAAGAGAATGTTGAGCATGTCTTATTGACTCAAGGAGAATGGAAGGAGAAAAAACGTAGCGACAATGGAGGCCATAGCCGAGGGCGAGGTCATAGTGGTCGCTGGAGAGGGAGAGGTCATGGTCATGGAAACAACTCATTTCATCAAGAGAAGAAGGCTGACAAGAGCAAGGTAAGATGCTACAATTGTCAAGGCCTAGACCACTATGCCTCAGAATGTCGGAAGGTGAAGTGTTATAATTGCCAAAAGATTGGCCATTATGCATCCGACTGTAGATCGAATGGGAGGATCAGGCGCACTTGGCTGAGACGCAAAGTGATGAGGATGAGCCAGCCTTACAGCACAAGTTTGTGAAGTCCGAACTCTCGGTTCACCAGAGTTGACGGAGATGGCTCTTTATGAAGAGAAGATTGTCCCGGAAGAAATTGAGAAGGTAAACAACATTTGGTTCCTAGATACGGGAGCCAGCAATCACATGACTGGTTGTCGAAGTTGGTTCTCAGAATTGAACGAGTCAGTGACCGGCACGGTGAAGTATGGAGATGGATCACTTGTAGAGATAAAAGGACGTGGAGATGTGAAGGTTGCGTCTGTGAAAAAAATAGAGAAGATGATTGATGAGGAGAAAATCGATGCCTATGTGAAGATTGAATCGAAGAAAAAAACAGAGAAGCGAGAAGAGAAGTAGAGCGATGGTGAGAAAATCGTTGGCACTGTGAAGTTTGAATCCGAGGAGAAGAGCGATGGCGTTGTGGCGGAGGTCCAGAATGTGGCAACGGAGGTAGCGAAAGCAAAGGAGATAAAAGAGAAGGACTATGACGGTGAGAAGAAGGAGGAGGACGGAAACACTGGCTGTGCTATTGAAAAACAGGTCGCTGGAGAAACGAAAGCAGAGAAGGAGAAGGAGAAGGAGGCCATTGTTTCCGACAGTGCAATTGAAGTAGCACAGGTAATTAAACCTGTTGAGGAAAAGCTATTGGCCGGACAAGTAGAACAGGTAATTAAAACTGTCAATGAAAAGCAATTACCCATTGAAAGGAAGACAGAGAAGAAGGAAGGCGGAGATAATGGCGGCAGCTTTCATCCTGTGAAGCGGAGTATATTGTGGTAACGTCAGATGCTTGTCAAGGAATATGGTTAGGACGTTTACTGAAAGAATTAGTTTGAAGAATGTAAGAATGTGAAGATCGAAATACAAGATTAAGGGGATGATTTGTTAGTTTATTTAATCTTGTATTAACCGTAATTCATTTCATTTACTGTTTGTATTTCAAATTATGTTAGTTAAGGATAGTTATTAGCGGTTAAGGGTAGTTATTAGCAGTTAGTGTAGCTATTCTGTCTATATATGTATTGTGTAACAAGTTGAATAATGAGTAAGTTGGTTTATTGCCTCTCTTAGTTGTATGAGTGTATTCTAACAGATGCTCCATAGCAATAATATGTGAAGTAGGTTCAGAGGTAGAAGACCGAACCACAGAGTATGTTACTATTCCATATATATGCACCTTGGGTTGATTGATATTGTTTATCAATCGAGTACCATACGATTGAGTAGTAGGTGCAGGATCCACAACTGAGGAGACAGTCGTATCAACCGTTGCGAGGGGAGCAACCGGTGCTACAGTAGTCGGTCGACCAGCGACCGAGGATCCGACTAGGAATTGCTCAATATCATCTGCTGGCGGAGGATCCGAGGCCCCAATCATTGGCGGAACAACAGATGTCTATTCGCGCGGCAGCGACGCAGAGGATTGCGGCGGCAATCCTAAAGCTGATGTGGGCACCAGATTTTCTTCATCCAAAGAGTTAGTAGGCACAGATATATGCATATGATCATTCTCCAAATTAGTACTATTGTTACCCAAATGCAAGTTGCACAAATCAGGGGCATTGTGAGTCGGCTGCAAGGTTGAGGAAGAACTGGGTGGGGCTCTCTTGAATAGAAAAACATTCCCATCAAATATGACGTCTCTAGAAATATAGTCATGACCAGAATCGGTGTCATGACACTTACACTCTTTATGTAAAGAACAATAGCCTAGAAAGACACATTCCTTGGATCGAAAAGAGAGCTTTTGTTTGTTATAAGAGCGAAGATGAAGTCAACAAGCACACCCACAAACTTTAATAAGGAGTACTTTGGTGGGGGTATGAAAACAATGTCTATGGGGCATTTTTTATTGACACGAGTAGGAAGACGATTGATGAGATATATGGTTTTAAGAAACGCATCATCCCAAAATTTAATAGGTACATCAGCATGAGCTAGAAGGGCTAGGCCAGTTTCAACAATATGACAATGCTTGCGTTTAACATACCCATTTTGTTGATGGGTGTGAGGGCACAAAACACGATGAGCAATTCCAAGGAAAGGAAAGAATGTGTTATGAATTTTCTAATATTTCCCACCCCAATCAAACTAGACACACTTAATTTTAGTATCTAGGAGGCGCTCAACATGAGCATGGAACTGTAAAAGTATACTAAGAGCTTCTATACGATTATGCATCAAATAGATCCACGAAAATTTACTGAAATCATCAATGAAGTTGATATAATATTTAAAGCCCCCAACAAATGGAGGTGTAGAACCCTAAACATCCGAAAAAATCAGTTCCAAAGGTGACGAAGACCTATGAAAAGAACTAGTGTATGGTAACTAATGACTTTTTGCTAACTGACACGCATTGCAAATTGGAAAAGGTGACTCACTAACACACGAAATATTATTAAGACATAAAATTAACTTTACTACTTGGGATGAAGGATGTCCAAAATGTGCATGCCATTGAGCGTGAGTAGTAGATCTGCTAACTAAGGCGTGCTTGAGATCATCGACATCAGATGACAGGATAGAGACCAGACTCACACCTTCCGTGTAGAAGACTTTTCCTTGACCGTCGATCCTTAATAGAAAAATTTCAAGGATGGTATTCAAAGAAACGTCATTATCACGAGAAAATTTATGAACGAAAAGAAGATGTTTGGAAATTTCAAGCACATGTAAAATATTACGCAATGCAAGAGGACGAGAAGCCGTATTAATTGAAGAATGACCAGTATGCAAAATACGCAAACCTACTCCATTGCTGACTTGAACTTGTTCACCTCCATGATAGCATTCACGCACAGCAAGATGATCCAGGTCACTGCTGATATGATCTGTGGCGCCATGTCGCTACACCAATTTGGATCAATCTTGTAAGAGAAAGTAGCCGCCAGTGTCGCAGAAGGCGGTTCATCTTGATAGGACTCATCCATCCTAGGCCAGCAGCGAATGACAGTATGCCTCATTTCGTCGCAGATCTAGCAGGAAAAATGAGCATAAGGGTCACGACGATCACCAGCAGGATGAGAGGGCATGCCATCTCATCCTGCTAGTGATCGTCGTGACCAGGATGAGAGGGCATGCCATCTTGAGAACGGCTATGACCACAATCCCTACGCCCATGGATCTTCTACTGACCACCACGACAAGCATAATTGGTCGAAGATCCCGGATTTAACTAAAGTTCAACTTGATGTTGTAGTTGGCGAGTTTCAAATGTCATTAGATGTGCAAACACATCATCAAGCGTCAGGGATTCATTCTTGGTAGTCATCGAGGTGGCAAAGGGATCATAGTCAGGGTCAAGACCAACGCGAAGATACGTGCTCACGCCATCATCTTGCAAGGCAGAGCCGACAGCGGCCAGCTCGGTGGCCAACCCTTTGATCTTGAAAAAATAATCAGCAGTAGATAGATCGCATTTCTTGGATGTGGCGAGCTCAACACAGATCTGAACAATGCGAGCACAAGTGGACGACGAAAACATCCGCTGCAGGGTATCCCACGCCTCCTTAGACGTAGTAACGGCAACCACATCATGAAGAATCTCCTCAGACGTGGAGGAGAGAAGGCCTCTAAGGACCTGTTAAAACTGATCATACCACCAATCATAAGTCGGATTAGAGACTAGGTCAGCAACAACAGCGGTTGAGGAAGGGACCAGCTTGGCAGGTGCGGCAATGGTGCCATCGAGGTAGCCCATAAGCTTCGTACTCCATAGGTAGGGGACGAGTTAAGCGTGCCATATGATGAAGTTGATTTTGGTGAGAGGGACTGTGACAACGTGGTGGAGAGGGATTGGGCCAAAGGTCAATGCCATAGTAGATGAGATTGTGTTGGAGATGGTGGATGGGGAGGAGTAAGAAGATATGATAGACATTGTTAATGAATAAACATTGGCTCTGATACCATGTTAGGTTGAATGACACTGTGAGGTATATGATCAGTCCTCATGTATTTATAGATGTGTATAATAAGGATTATAGGGTAGGCCTTGCTTGATCCATGGTAACAAGAAATCAGTAGATTCTCTTCCATTCATGGTAAGAGACTAGTAAATCAGTAGATTTTGCTCCATCTAGGTTAACAAACCAGTAAATCATTAGATTCTCTTTTTTTCATTTTTTATTTGGAATCTTCAAATTTCTTCTCTCTAATATCTAAGTAATTAATTATTCCATAAATTCTATAAAAATTGGAAAGACTATTTTCCCCTTTATCATTAATATTTTTACTTATACAAATCATTTTAACTACTTTATATAGATCTCATGTGATATTTTAAAATTATTGGGTATTAGAACTCTTGTTGCCATTCATGCTTCGAATATGCTCAAAAGTCAGGTCATGAATTAGGTCTTGTAAGTTGACCACTACCACACGTTGTGAGAATGTTTCGCTGTTGATAGCTCTTAATTTTCTCTCAATGGTTGGATTAAGCTTCTTAAGGTCAGTGAACATACTATTGGATACGTAAGGATTTCATAAGATGAATTACTTCATAATATTATGAATAATATGTATCATGATAATTAAAAATAAAGTAGAGTAACATTTTAAAATTTCATAACCAAAAAACTAAGGGATGTAATTAGAAAAGGTTTATAATTTGGGCATGCAGACATGAAGGTTTGAATTGAAATTAAATAGGGATTATTCAAACGATGTCGTGTTTTGTGGTGTTTTAAAACAACATATGGGTAATTCTAAACTTAAATTATTTATTTCTACAAATTTGATCCTAAATCCTTTACTCAGCAGCCTCTAATGTATTATTCTTTTTATTTTTTTATTTTTATTTTACTATAAAAATTTGAAAAATTGTTGTCTTCGTATTTATTTAAATATGTGGGGGCCAAATTGTAAATAGCCATCCAACTTGGGTAACTTCTCCATCACCCAACATTTGTTCAACAAATACAAACCCCAAGTTTCCAACTTGAATTATATTATAAGTATTTCAAAATTTGATGCTTATAAATACAAACCATGCTCATCCCATTTCTCTCCACACCCATTTCCTTATATTTTTCGACCTTTGCGATCCAATCCAAATGGGTCTCGTAAAGATTTCCTTCTCTCTCTTTTGTATCTTCTGTATCACTATCCTTCCTTCATCTCTCGCGCAAGACTTCCCTCAAGACTATGTTGATGCTCACAATATTGCTCGTTCCCAAGTGAGCGCGGTCCAAGTTGGCATCAAACCCATCCAGTGGGATGAAGAACTTGCAAACTATGCTACACAATATGCCAATGAACGTAGCAACGACTGTCAATTGTTGCACTCTAATGGGCCTTATGGCGAGAATCTTGCCGTGCATTCTAGTGAAATGACAGGCATTGAAGCAGTTCAAATGTGGGTGGATGAGCAACAATTCTACGATTATGCCTCCAACACCTGCACCGAAGGAAAAATGTGCGGCCACTACACTCAAGTGGTGTGGCAAAACACGACAAAAGTTGGATGTGCAAAAGTGAGGTGCAACAATGGCGGTACATTCATCACCTGCAACTATGACCCACCCGGCAACGTCATTGGGGAGTGGCCATATTAAAGGACCCTTCAATTTAAGGAATAAACTATAAAGCGTGCAAGTTTTATATTATGTTTATGACATCATTTTTACGTATTAATAAATAAAAATAATGTAGGATTGTTCGATCGATCTTGCTTTATCAAAGTTTATTATGTAACCTATTATTTTTAATAAAATATTAAATATACAATATAGTTTCATTATCGTGGTTACTTTTAAATTTTAAATGAGTTAGGATTTTATTGATAACAATATAGAAAAAAGATACCTAAAATATTTTTATAATATGAAAAAGTGAATATGCTAAAAACATAATAAAGAGATAAGAAATAAGATTTATCTTAGGGACACAATTTCATATGTAATTTAAATTTTATTTTATGTTTTTAAGTTCATTGTTAGGAAACCTAGAACAACAAAGTATTTAATAAGTTTAAAACTCAAACCTAGACCGAGTTCGTTTATTTGGTTACTTTAACCTTACTTAACTTTCAAGGAAATCAATCGGTTCAGGGTCTTAACTTACAATTTTGTGTGTGTGTGTGTGTTTTTCTTTTTTCTTAATTCATATTGAGCTTAATGTTCATATTAAAAGACAAACGATTCCTACAAATATTTCTTAAGAAAAATCTAAGCTAGCTACTTACCTCATTGTCAATGTTTGAGACCTCTGTTCTCGAGATTTCGATATCTGAATTATTCCAAATTTTCTCTAATAGTGTAACAACCCAAGTCCACCACTAGCAAATATTGTCATGTAATAACCCTAAAAAAGTTAGATAAAAAAGAAGGGAAACTTTGTCCCACATTGCTAAAGTTGAGAGGGGGGCGGGGGGTTGGCCTCCACTATAGGAGGGAGGTCCTCCACTTCATTTTATCATTCCAATTGAACGGTTTGAGCCAGTCGGAGGGCACACTTTCTGAAGGCTCAAGACCAACATTTTGGCTGATTCTGCTTGGGTCTGATACCCTCGGACCATTTACTATTAATTTCAATTCTTCAGAAGCATTTAAGGTTAGTACGATTGTCTTTTAGCTAGTTTAAATTTTTTAAGTAAGTTTAAATTATTTATGCAAAACTAGGTGAGCCAATTCCCACGTGACCCTAATGTAAATGTAAGTATTTTCTTAAATATAATCATGTTAGAAGTACTAGGAGTACAATACAAGGAAGTCTTATCGATATCATGACCATAGGGAGTACTTAAATTCTTAAAATTCTTCGTCTTACAGGGAATATACTACTTTTTCACTAAACAATGGTTCGAGCCCCAAGCATGCTCCAATGGTCATGAAGTTTACTAGTCCATTGAAAGTCCTGATTTAGGTTCATCTATAAAATTTCATGTCATTCAAGGTCATTAAGGTCGTGAACCCTAGATAGTATGCCTTAGGGGTATTATGGTCATTTTACACCTTTACTTGGTTTACCTACTTAACCTTATCCGATTACCACCAAATTTCATATATAACCTTAATATGTTATAACATATTTGGCATTAAAATTTCGTGAGTAGTGGAGTTCAGAAAATGACAATCAACCAAAACACCCTTGATCTTCAACGAAATTACGAAAATGCCATGAATCAGAAAATGAGATTCGCGGTCGGGTACTTACATCTCGCATAAAATCTATCGTGTCTTCGTTCTCCACTGTTGATTCTTTGCCAAATCTAAGTATGTTCTAGAGGAGACACATCTCATCATATCCAACGGTGAGAATTCAAAATAGAGGCCAACTGTCTGCTGATTTGAGAAGATATTTCTAACAAAAATTCTAGAAAACTCAAATTCGAGTTCACTATGATTCTAGAGGTTTTAACGTTGGTTTAAGCCCCCTTAGAAAGTCTAAAGTTCGGGATTTCATTTGGAGCAAGAATCGAACTTAGTCGAGCCTTCAATCACGAGTTATAGCCTCTAAGATTTTTGGTTTCTTACTCTTAGATTTCTTTTGAATTCGAGAGCCATAGTGATAACTCTTTAAAAGTAGAGTCCTATCAAGTCTTTTTGTTTTTAATATGACACTCGTATTCACCATTTTCTCATTATTTACCCCATTTATTCTACTTAGTGAGCATGAAATCGTTTATTGCGGTCCAACATGAAAAAAAAATATGATTTTGCATAAATCGATCTTAATTGTACATTTAATTGAGTTATGTGGTAAAATTTTAGACATTTATGCTCATGAGGGAGTAGCAAATCTGGAAATAAATGGGGGATGACATGAAAATTTTAAATCCACATCAGCAGTCTAAATGGGTCATTGATTACCGAACACGAAGAACATCCTATGTGGACAACTTATTCCTTTTCAGCTCTAAAGGCCCAATGAGGAAGTGGACAACTTTTTCCTTTTCAGCCTTAAAGAGGAACTCATGCTCAATATAAAAGGAAAAGGAAGACCAAGAGGAGGGAGCCACATTTTGGGGAGAAAATCGAATTACACAGCAGCAGCCTCTGCTGCAGTGAACTGCTGTGAAACCAGAGAAGAAGAAGAAAACCCTAATCCAGCAGCTGTTGAAAGCAGAAGGAAAAAGAGACCAACAAGGATTGATTAGGGCAAAGAGGTGAACGTGAGAGCTCAAGAGAAGGGAACTTCCATTGACGAACGACAACAAACCGGGATAACTCTCTATTTCCTTATTCCATCAATTTTACATGATGAAAATGTGGATTCGTTTAATTCAGTTTGTATGGAAAGCTAAACTTAATAGAAGAGGCGAGAGAGTTTTATATAGTTTAAGTATGTTGACGGTATGATTTTAGTTTATTAAAGAGTTGTTGTTAATGATTTATATGTATGTTTAAT